TGGTTCTCCTTTACATCTTTCAACTGAATGTGCAGAGACAGGAGAATTGAATACTAGTGTTACACGCAAAATCTTGTTTTCTGTATTCTTTAAAACATCAACTGTTCATGAAGAGGACTATATATGCATGAAGAGGACTATATAAACAGCTATTTTGGTGAAAGGGAACCCTCTAAATATATTAAAGTAAACAAAGCTGTGGACAGCAAGGCTGTCACCATATAGTCAAACAACTTTTAATATGAGCTGGATTGAAACTTACATCCATCTCTATTTAGCATCCTCAGTCTTACTTGACCATAAAATTTATGGGTGACTGAAAGGACTAAAGGCTTATATTTTGCATATTTATATATAGAGATAGCCATAATAATCTGCACTGGGGGGAAAAGTCTAATTCTGGTATATTTGTGCATTAATCAAATTTCTATGGCTGTCCATCTACCCAAATAAACTCTGGGTGGTGAACAGAGAACAAATCTCAATCCATTAAAAAACCAAACCATGGCTACACTCAAGGCTCCTATAAAAATATTATACCCCTTGCACAAACCACTGCTCCAGGAAATTAGCATCTTAACTTCAATGGCTGGTGAAAGATCCAGGTCTTTACTGCCTTCTGAAAGGCCAATAGATATAGACCAGGGGTGTCAAACTGCCTATCCACGGGCCAGATGCATCATAGCAAAACCTCGCCCACCCCATTGCTGGCAATGGCAAAAAAAGTCATGATACATCGCGACACGTCACATGACATTGTGAATTTGATACTCCTGATATAGACCATAAATTTGTTTGAGTAGAAGCTATTCCAAAAAAGATTTCCTTCCTGGACCTATCAGATGATATTGCTTCACCAAGGGACTTGGAACATGGCACCCTGCCAAGCTGATGGAATAGGAAGAAACATTGGGGATTTACAGACTTTCAAGTAACCTGGCCCTATGCCATGTAAAACTTCAAAAATGAATTGCGCCTGAAAGCCTATTGTGAATCAGCTCACCTGGCAGGTAGTTACCATGCTGTGTCCAAAACTGTATGTGCAATTGCACTCTTACCCACTTCTACATCCTTTCAAGGGCCAACCCGTGTAGAATATGCTGCAACAGTTCATGGACAGATGATTAAGACATGAGTTACCATCTAGGAATGAGCACAACTGTTATACAAAATGGTGTCCTGGCCATGACTGCCTTTTGCCCCTTGAATAAGACCTTATAATGGCCAGAAGGACTCCCAGAATGTATATCAATTCTGCCTGGGGAAGTTTAACCCTGTATGGAATTAAAGTTTAAAGATTAATTGTAGTTAAAGTTTAATTTATTTATTAGACATGCTTTTTGTAGATTCCATCCCAATGCACAGAGTACAGAGTATTAAATATATCTATGGAAAATTGGGGAAAAATCAAGTGCAGGAGGTGCATGCAATGGTAATTACTTTTTAATAGCTGCTAATTACAAGAATTGCTGGATATACAGATGAACCTTTAGTTCATGTTCTGAAACTCTTGATGAATTTTAGTGTAGTGAAAGCACTGTTTGTAAGAGTCATTTTAAAACAAAAATGGTGCTGATCTTTAATGTTAGACCATGTCACAGAAATGCAAAAGAGGAATTAATCCCTGAGGCATTCCCAGATGCTGATTTTGTTTCTTATCTACTCTGGAATCATTATTTTAGGACATAATAAATTAAACCATAACATCCAAAATATATTCACTTGATCATCTTTCAATGTGATGCATGCCATCATCTGTCAACAACTTCCTTCTACATTCTACAGCAAACAAGCAAACCTAATTCTTTGCGATAAGCAAACAAATCCAAATATGGAGTCAGAAATGGCAATGTTTAAATATCATTTCCATCTCCAGGGACTTTTCCTCTGATATTAAGATGGTCATTCTTAAACAAGGAAGTTCAAGGACAGATGTCAACATAAAGCAGCTGAATTACAATTTCTGAAGAAATTCACTTCCTCTGACTTGAACAAGGACAATTATTGTTCATTAATCAACTATTTAATGAGGTCACAAAGGAAGGGAAATTTGGATCCTCACCCAACAGCTTCCCACAACTCAATCATGCATGTTTATTTACTTGTATTTCAGGATGTACCTCATGAAACAGGCAATAAACTGTGAAGCCTTGTGCAATAATAAATTGGATAATTCTTACAATGACCCAGATTCCTTTACTATTTTGTCAAAGTACTGCTTCAATGAAAATTGCATAGAGCAGTACAACATGTAATTATTTAATAATGGTCTGATGGTTTTATTTCATTTTTCCCCTTTGGAAGGCATCTTTATTTGATTATTTATTTGAAAAAAAGAGTAAGAGAATGATGGAGAGAGTTTGCATGTATGTGTGTCAGAACTCTTAACTAAATATTACCCAGATCCATCTGTATATACATATATACTGGAAAAAAAATCAGGATTATTCAGCTGGAAAATCTTCCAAAGGAATTGATATAGGTCTTTAAGACATTGCATGATTTGTTGTACGAGAAAGGAGATCCATTTCATTACAATTTTTTTGTACAGACTCTTAGTTTTGATGTAATGCAACAATTATTTTTCATCAAACCAACTGCAAAAATAGTAGGCATCCTAACATTAATCTACATAGTTCAGTCTACTAAGTTAGGGCCTTTCAACCCATGGTACGCATACTACTGGTGGTACTTCGGCACCTGGCAGGTGGTATGCATATGACGGGTTGAAAAGCACTGTAAAAAAAGTGTATAAAAGTGTAAAAATAGATGAGCTGAAGTGGCATCAGTGCCAGAGAGACCTGGAGGAGAGTCAGTTGGAGCAGCCTAGCGTTGCTGGGGCTCTGCTGAAAGTCCAGGATCGGCCCACGTGGCTCCAGCTGATCGGTGCTTCCAGCACACCCGGAAGAGAAAAGAGGAGGAAGGGGAGAGAAGAGAAGATATAAAAGGAGAAGGAGGAGGGAGAGAAGATATAAAAGGAAGAGGAGGAGGGAGAGAAGAAGTGATATAAAAGGAAGAGGAGGAGGGAGAGAAGAAAGGATATAAAGGGAGTAGTAAAACCAGTACTTTTTTCTTTTCTTTTCTTTTTTAATGTTTGTAACATTTTCTTAGATTATAAAATAAAATAAAATACAAAAACAAATAGTAGGACACAGTGGGGAGGAAAAAGGGAAAGAAAAGTGAGGGGGAGAAGGGAAAAAGAAAAGGTATTGACTTTCAACTTCCTCTGTTGCAGTAGAATGAAGCATTAACATCGAACCTCAACTTTTTACTTTTTTCATAATAGTATAATTAGCCATTTCTATAACAATAAATCAATCTAATCAGTAAAAACCAAAATTCTCCCCCCTTTTTTTTTAGTCATCAGGTTTTTGACACCTTGCTAAAGCAGTGGTGGTACTTGGCTACTGTCATATCCTAAAAGTGGTACAATCTGTAAAAAGGTTGAAAAGCCCTGTACTAAGAGATAATGCCTTGCAGAGTTCAGCATATAAACCAAGATGCACTTTTTGTGCTCTGCACATTTGGAAATTATGGAAAATTATGGAAAATCCCTTGAAAACATGTTGGGGGTTTTCAAGATCTCAGTGTTGCTCTTTCATTTGTTTTGTTTTTTTTTTTAAGATGTTCAAAACTCATTCTATACAATCACTGGTTCCTGAAATATGCATGTATATTAATATATTAAATTATTGATAGTATGGTGATTATTGCCAGTAATTGATGGAAAGTTATTTGTTATTCAGAAAACACTTTCCTGCAGGTTCCTGCAATTTCAACTCCCTCTATCACTTCTTCTCTGTTCATGAGAATTAAGTCCAGTATGGCTGTTCCCTCCTCTACCTTTTGGGCAACCAAGTTGTTGGTTAGGTTGATAAGGAATCTATTCAATTTCTCACTTGGTGCCTAATTAATCTTCCAGTTGATGTCAGGGTAATTAAAGTCCCCCATTACTATAGTAGTGTGTATCCTACATATATTTCTTAATTGGTTAGCAAAAAGTACACCTACTTTTTCTGCTTGGTTGGGTGGCCTGTAGTACATACCTATGGCAATGTCATTCTTTTTTTCTTTGATATGCATTCTAAGAGGTTTTTGTCTTTGGTCTTGTGCATTTCTGTAGCAATACAGTGGTCTTTTACATATAGTGCAACTCCATCTCCTCTTTTATGGGGTCTGGGTTTTTTAACAGTTTTTATCCTTCTATCAGTATGTTCCACTCATGGGTTTCATCCCACCAAGTTTCAGTAATTCCAATTATATCATATCTACCTTCATGTATTAATAATTCTAGTTCACCCTGTTTGTTCCCCAAACTTTCTGCATTTGTATATAGGCATTTGAGATCTTTATGTCTGACTCTGGGTATGCTTCCAATGTTTCCTATCTGGTGTTTGAGTTTGTCTTCCTTCCCATACCTCCTTACCTCATCATTTGATTTGTTTTCTAGGGGTTTTTGCTTGTAATTATCTCCTAGAGATCCTAAAGTTTGGTCACGCTCCCCCCCCCCTCAGTTTTAGTTTAAAGCCCTCCTAATAAGTTGAGCCAGACATTTTCCAAAAGCATTCTTCCCAGTTTTTGTGAGATGCAGCCCATCCCTTACCAAAAGTCCATCGTTGAGGTAGTGCAGACCATGGTCCAGGAATCCAAAGTTCTTTTGGCAACACCAACCCTTTAGCCAGTGGTTCATTTCTAGAATCCTTTTTTTCTCTTACTGGATGTTAAGCTTTCATTGGCAGTATGGATGAAAAAACTACTGGTGCACCTAACTCGTAAACTTTGGACTAGATGACCTACAAGGTCCATTCCAACTCTGTTACTCTATTCTGTTTTGTTCTGTTCATGCAAAAGGAACATTCTGCAGGAAACCATTATTGTCACCAATCCTTGCAGAGTTACATTATTTTATAAGTAAAATATTTGATGGTGAGGAGGTTCTGTGTCATTGTATAAGGAGGTTTAGATCAGTGAAACTTCCCTGTATATTACCTGTATTACAGGACAAGAAACTCTGCCTTTAAGACTACAATCAACCTCATATCCTGAAGAAAGAGAAGAATGGCAAGGAGAAAAATGCTTTATAATGATTTCCTTAGCTGAAATATACACTGAAGAATTGTTCTGATTTTCATGGTTCATGATTGTTCTGATTTTTAGCAAGTAATAATAGCTGTTAAACTTTGTTAGAGTCTAATATCTGTTAGTCTCTCCCTGTTAGAGATTTGTAAAAGTGCACATCTTATGCAGCATCTGGGCATTTCACGAGGAATAATAAAACAATAAAAATAGTAAAATAAAACATAAAAACCAACAAAAAACCTCTGGGTACTCCCAAACACAATTAATCCAGAAACCATTTTAGAGATTCCTTGTTGTTACATCAAAATTGTCCAAAAAGGCATTATATGAAATAATCAGGGAAGGCCTATGCAATATATTGGGTCACATTAAAAAAAAATCCCACTTTCATGCATTAAGGGGACTCAGCCTTCCATCCTTCCGAGGTCGGTAAAATGAGGAGCCAAATTGTTGGGGGCAATATGCTAACTCTGTAAACCACTTAGAGAGGGATGTAAAACACTGTGGAGTGGGTATATAAGTCTAAGTAGGGAGTGGTAATGAGTATTCTCATCCCTGGGACTGAGAATAGTGATCTTGTAGGGTTTCTAACTTCAGTCCCTAGACAGATTATTCCTAAAACAATTTTACATTTGCATATTTGTTACCCAGCTCTTTAAAGAGGCGCATTTACTCTGTCACAATGTGATTATCTTTTATAAACCACCTATTCTCCATTACAAGAGAAATAAGCATAGTAGAAAAAGCAATACACAATTTATATTTAAACACGGTCCTTCTCTCCTATGAGAACAAGCATAGTGACTATATGGCATGTCCCCTGATTTTTGCAGTTCCTCCTCTACCCAATGTTTATGGAGCATAACAAACTCTAAAAGAAATCAAAGGGAAAAGAACAGGCTAGGGATGGAGTGGGGAGGCACACAGAACAACTTCCTTGTCGGGCCGTAGCAGAGGCTGCCCCGGTTACCTGTTCCGAAGGTGCCTCGACTCTCCAGGCACGCGTCCCGACGGCCCGACATCCAGCTGACTGGCGGGCATGCACGGAAGGTGCTCCGATGACCAGCTGGCATTGCTGGCTCTGCACATGCGCAGACGACGGCCAGCATACTACAACGCATGCGCAGATGGTCGGAAGGGCTAAAACTGCCCAGTGCCCATGCGCGGACGCCGAGATGAAGCTATTGACAGTAATTGAAGCAATACAAGCTGCCGAAGCGTCGGGAAGCCGTCGAAGCGTCGGGAAGCGTCGGGAGGCGGCAGCTGAAGGCTAGCATAATCGGGATGGGTCACCATATATGGGTATTTAGAGCAGTCCGGAAGAGGGTGACGGTGCATGGGTGTTAGCATGGGTGTGGGCTAGGTGGGGTATCTTTGAATTGTATAAAAGAACCATGACTGTAATGGTTGTCAGTGCTGACTTTAAACTATATTTTTGCTGTAATAAAGCAAAGTTCTTCGTTCCTGACGTGGTGGCTCTGTGTCTGTATGTGAAGTCTGGTTGTGAAGTCAAGACGAGGCAACAGTAAGTCAGCCCAAGGGACTCTTATGCAGCTTGGACGGAAAGGAGAGTTACTGGTGACGAGGAGGATGAATGGAGTTACTCCACTGCTCCTGGACAATACACCCTTGATGTTTTAAGGGATAGGTTTGGGGAAACGGGTTTCCTTCCCAAACAAGGGGTGGCTCCCCAGCCTCCTATTGGTTCATCTGGATTCCGTTTGGCTAGCCCGCGATTGAGGGTGACAGCAGCACAGCAGGAGCAAGGGGTGCAGGGAGGTTTGAGAATGGGACCCACACATGCTAGTTTCTCTGCCTTTAGGTTCTGGGGATCTTGGTCGACAATCTGCTGTTAGAGGGGGACAACAAGGGGGTCAACCGGCGTTAGTGTGGCCCACGGGTATGCCATGGACCCCTCCCCCTCTTGGTGATCCCGATAAATTGGCCATGTTCCTAGGCCATGTTTTGAATCATTTAGATCGCTTTGCAGCTCATTACACTTCACAGTGGGCCATAGTGGTAGCAGTGACTGCCAATTTGCAGGGTGAGGCAGCTACTTGGGCAGCGGATTTGTTTGGGGATCACACCAGCGAGCTGGCAGATATAGGTTCTTTCCTAGAGGCCCTGAGGGTACAGTTTGAGGGTTCAAAGAGCGGAGGCAGAAATTGTACGCTTAAAGCAGGCGGGCAGACCAGTACGCTAGTTCATAAGGGAATTCCAGCGTGTGGCAGGCCGATTAAGATCATGGCCTGAGAAGTTGCTAGTGCATCGCTTCCGACATGGGCTAGATTTGGAGCTACGACAGGCCTGTCTGGTGAGGGGGGGTTCCGGCTCGTTTACATAATTGGTATAGGGCACTTACTGAACTTTATGCTGGGTTACGGGAGATCAGTCCAGGTGCATCCTCCCCTCTCCCCGCACCCACACAGCAACCAGCCAGTAAACCGAAGACTGTGGGGGCTCCGGTACAAGCAGTTACACCAGTGGCGCCAAGGGGGGTATTCCGATGTTTCCGATGCAATAAACCGGGTCATAGGGTGGCCCAGTGTCCACTGTCTCCAGGAAAGGGGGTGTCTGCAGGACAGTCTGTGCTGGCGGCGAGAAGGCAGGATGTCACGCCATTCCGGGGTACCGATCAAATGAGAGCTTTGCGGCAAAATGAAGACAGCACACCCTATGGACCTTCCCCAGGAGTGGCGGTTTCAACCCCAGAGGTGATACCTGACAAGTACGATAGGGAGGATCCAGAAGAGGATCCCATGGTGAGTAGCCCAGTGGTACCATTCGCCATACCAATCTTCCTGGTGAATTGTAAAAACGGCCAACGCATGGAATGCAAGGCGTTGATAGATTCGGGTTGCACAAGGTGTCTAATGAGTCGGAAAATTGCGCATGCTTTGGGGCTCCGGTTGAAAGTTTTATCCCGGCCGATCAATTTCGAGCAGGTGGATGGATCCCTGTTGGGTGGGGCACCGGTGACTCAAGTGACTGAACTTGTACGGTTAGAGATGAGAGATCATTGGGAATTAGTACGTTTTATTGTAATTCCATCAATGACCGAAGAAGTAATTTTAGGATTGGCCTGGCTTGATAAATGGCAACCGGTCATATGGTGGGCGGGTGGATGTCACCGCATAAGATTGGCTATCAGTCCCCGGCCTCCAGGGGATAGCCATGAGAAACCGTGTATGCAAACACCACAGTCTAAACTGCCTGATAAGGAGAGGATCAAAGTGGCAGTGGAAGCCAATGAAGGGAAACGTCTGTTCCCGGTAGAGTATGAGGATCTACGGGATGTGTTTAGTGAGAAGGAATGTGATGTGTTGCCGCCACATCGTCCTACAGATTGCACAATAGATATCGTGCCGGGGGCAAAGTTGCCAAAGCCCCGGATGTATCCAATGTCCCCCAGGGAATTGGAGGAGCTAAGGAGCTACATTGATAAGAACTTGGCGCGCGGCTTTATACAGCCAGCCCGATCTCGGATTGCGGCTCCTGTAATATTCCAGGGAAAGAAAGATGGTGGATTAAGGCTTTGTGTGGACTTTAGAGGATTGAATGTGGTATGTACTGAAAATATGTATCCCTTACCCCTGTTGAAAGACGTTAACCCATTTGTCCCAGGGGAAGGTTTTCACCAAACTAGATCTTAGGGAGGCATACTACCGCATCCGAATAAAACCAGGAGACGAATGGAAGACTGCATTTAATTGTCCTTTAGGGAGCTTCCATTTCACTGTCATGCCGTTTGGATTAAAGGGAGCTCCTGCAGTATTCATGCAAACCATTAACGAGGTATTGCATGAACATTTATATCATGGGGTATTGGTGTACCTTGACGATATTCTGATATATTCTAGGACCATGGATGAGCATATAAAGTTGGTTAGGGAGGTCTTGCACAAGGTCCTCAAGGCCCAATTATTCGTAAAACTCTCAAAATGTGAGTTTCATAAAACCCGTATCAATTATTTGAAATATAGAATATCGGCCTCAGGTATAGAGATGGATCCGGCAAAGGTGAAAGCGGTACTTGAGTGGCAGGCACCCAGGACGAGATACCAGTTGCAGAGCTTTCTGGGGTTTGCGAACGTTTACAGGCAGTTCATTCCTGATTTCGCACAGGTGGCTCTGCCACTTACGGAATTATTAAAGATGTGGAAAAACCCCGTAAAACCCTGACCTGGCCAATCGTTGGTGTGGACTAAGGAAAGCCAATTTGCATTTGAACACCTAAAGTCTTTGTTTGCCAGAGCCCATTTTACTGCATCCAGACCCTGATAGACAGTATATTGTACAAGCGGATGCGAGTGATGTGGCGGTAGGAGCTGTATTATTGCAGCGAAATAACATCGGTAATTTACAGCCTTGCGCATATACCTCGCGTAAGTTGACAGAGACTGAGAGGAGATGGGCAATATGGGAAAAGGAGGCCTTTGCCATTAAATGGGCCTTGGTAACGTGGCGACATCTCTTGGAAGGGGCTAAACAGGAAATAGAAATTTGGATGGATCATAAGAATCTGGCAGTCTTGCAATTGCCCTGACGTTTAGCACCGAAACACGTGAGATGGGCGCAATATTTTAAGCGGTTTAATTTTCAACTTAAATATGTCCCTGGGGGTTGTAACTTCTTGGCGGACGTGTTATCTAGATTGCCCCAATATGAGAGTCAGAAGGAGGAATTGGTACAAGCCATATTACCTCCATATACGCAGGGAGTAGGTAGGGTAGGTTCCCGTCCTGATACCAGAAATATCGAATCGGAATTGAGGGCAGCAATACCACAGGATCCTTGGTTTCAGGAACATAGTAATCTGTTCACTCAAAGAAACGGGTTGGCATGGTATGGAGCAAAATTATATGTACCACTTGTGTTAAGGGCTAGAATACTTCAAAGGTGTCATGATGTAAAACTGGCGGGACATTTTGGATTCGTCAAAACATTACACCTAACCAGACGCCAGTTCTGGTGACCCACGTTACGAAGGGATGTAGAAAGATATGTAAAAGCATGTTCTATATGTGCTAGGTGCAAAACCCGTCCGGGAAAGCCAATAGGGTGTTTACAGCCAGTAGCTGATCCGGAATATCCATGGCAGGATATTGCCATGGATTTCATTGTGGAACTTCCAAAGAGTAAAAGACATACAGTAATATGGACGGTAATCGATTTATTCTCAAAACAAGCCCATTTCATCCCATGCAGGAAGTTGCCGACCACTCAGAAATTGGCTCACATGTTCCTTACACACATATACCGTATCCATGGGGCTCCCCGACGAATAATATCTGACCGGGGGGTTCAATTTACGGCACGATTTTGGAAAGGATTCACCACCTTGCTTGGGTCATCGCAGGGACTTAGCACTGCGTACCATCCCGCTACTAATGGAGCGGCTGAACAGGCTAATGCAGCGGTGGAACGGTATTTGAGAAGTTATGTGTCATACCAACAAACTAACTGGGCAGATCTGCTGGTGTTCGCGGAAGTTGCGTATAACAACGCGGTACACGGCAGTACAGGGTATGCACCGTTTAAAGTGGTATCTGGAAAAGACTTTGTTCCTATACCTGAATGCCAGCAATTTGATGCACAGCCATGTCTCCCACAAGAATGGACACAAAGGATTTGTGGGGCATGGGCTGCTGTGAAGACAGTGTTGGTAGAATATGGGCGAAAAATGAAAGAGCAGGCAGACAAAAAACGGCAACCCTGTAAGCCGTTTGTTGTAGGACAACTAGTTTATTTGTCCACTAAATATATAAGACTGAAGATACCATGTAGAAAGTTGGGACCTAAATACATTGGACCATTCGAAATCGTTAAAATCATTAATCCAGTTACTGTACAATTACAACTACCCGGGTTGTTAGGGAAAATACATCCGGTGTTTCATTGCAGTTTACTAAAACCAGTATGTATGTACCGGAAAAGAACCGCACCGGGTCCTGTTTTTGATGACGAATATGAGGTACAAGAAATACTTGACTCCTGTATTAAACAACGTGAATTGTATTATCTGATTAGATGGAAAGGTTATCCTTTATCAAAGGCTACATGGGTATGGGCTGATAATGTACAAGCTCCTCGCCTAGTTAAAAAATTCCATGTACAAAATCCTGGAAAACCAGGAACCAGTAGCACAGTGGGGGTCGGGGAGGTGGACGTGCGTGAACCAAAGTAACATATTTTTGTCTTTTCTCCAGGGGGAGCCCTGGTAAAGGGGGGCAGTATGTCGGGCCGTAGCAGAGGCTGCCCTGGTTACCTGTTCCGAAGGCGCCTCGACTCTCCAGGCGCGCGTCCCGACGGCCCGACATCCAGCTGACTGACGGGCATGCG